TACAAAATGTGTAAACAACTGCCATGCATCATAAAAAAGAGAAAACCCAATGGAAAAACAGGCAGAACATTCAAATAAGCATTTTACAAAGATGATACTGAAACGGCCATTAAACCCATAAAAATGTGCTCAACTTCACACTAACAGCTTAAAAAAAAAATCTGACAATACCAAGTGTGGACAAGGATGAGAAACAAGTTGAATTCTCCTACGCTGCTGATGGGAGTATAATTATTTTAATGATTTTGGAAACTGTTTGGCAGTATCTTGTGAACCTGAATGTGTGCATATACCCATGACACAGCAATGTGTCTCCCAGGTACATCCAGGAGTTGGCAAACTTTTGAGACGGAAGAGCTGCCAGGGGTCAGCAAACTGTGGCTCATGAACTGTGGCTCTGAAGTAAAATTGAAAATGAAAATAAAACTATCATAGTTTCATTTATAAAATTTTTAAAGGATATTATTCACATAATGGTGATTANTTTACTATTCACTGTCAGGCCTTACCTATACAGATCTGTGTCTGTCTCCCATAATATATGTGAACACTTTTAAGAGTAGGAATTGTGTCAAAATGTTCTGGGTATTCTCAATAGCAATGTGCAAAGCACATAAAAAGCATAGAATGAAGGTTTGAGGAATCCGACTATGGGAATAAGTGAAGGAAGCCTTCCTAACACCACAAAAGATTCTAGTAGCACGTATCACAACTGACCAAACTCAAAGGGTTTCCTATAAATGCAAATATTAACCCTGAAGTCATTAGCAGGTTAGCATTTTTAAATACAATTAACAGTCACAATTCAAGAACGCTGGGTACAAAGATTTGATAAGACAAGGAAGAGAAACAATTAAGGTATAGCTAGTCATTTCTGGAATGTTGTAATTTTACTTTATGAGTAATATTAGAAGAGAACATATTATGATAGAAAAAATTTGACAGCTCAAATCATGTCTACATTAAGGAATTCATAATCTCTTTTCTAACGTGCTACACAAATATTATTGAGACTACAATGACAAGTCCTTCAACCCACAGCACACTGGGCAAGGTTCTCAAATTCAGTTCACACCCATCCTCAGACTTTACTTCGGAACCCTCTGGGTGAGTTCAATCATTCCTGGAATTCTGGAAAGGTGTTTATCTTGTCTTTTGTCATTTTTGTTTCAATAAGGAGCAAAAGATAAAACCCACCACTGAAAGGAAAACAGGGTGGGGTATATAGGCAGGAGAGGAAGCTATCCGGATCCGAGATGTAAATGCCCACCAAGGACACGCTCAACAAACCTGAAAGAGGAAGGCATCGCCCAGGGAGTTGCTGAGGCAGAAGACGAAGTCCTTCTTGGGGTGCTCAGGCACGGCCTGCACGATGCTGTTCTCCACCCAGACAGCGTGCTTGGGGACGCTGTTGTGGTCTATTCCAGACCTGCCGTCGCTCTCGTAGAAAAAGAGCGTGCACCCTGTGGAAACAGAACAGTGGTCCGCAAGAGCCGCATGTGGCTCGCGAGCCACAGTTTGCCGACCCCTGGTATATACCAAAAAAACATAGACACACATCCTGAACACAGATACAAGAGCATTCAGCAACATTGCTTGTGACCCCCAAACTGAGATCAACCCAAATGTACCCATTAAAAGGTTTCCACATGTCCCAGTTAGCCTGGGGCTGTTGCAACTTTATACCTATTATCCTGGCATTAATCGTTAATAGTGCTGCTATAACTCCCCAAATTGTCTAGTCTCTAAAGTGTCCTGGTGAGTGCCATCAGTGGCAATGGGAGAATAAGAACCTCAGAAAGCAACTCCTCTGTAAAAGCAGTAAGAAAATTGGTAAAAATTGTCAAATTCAATTTTCTTCAGAACTCTGGAAATTAATTAGGTCTTCACCAACCTGAGCTGTATTTACTGAATCTCAGTAAGAATAGCAAGTGTGGGGGCATTTTAGCTTGTTTTTTTTCCATCCTCATCTCCCTAGCTCCATGTGAAAACCGGCAGTCTAGCAACCATTAAACAGCGCAGGATGGATTTGGAGTCCCCCTAAAACACCATTCTCAGAGAGTTACCAAACAGCAGTTCACAGAAATCCCCCTTCACAGGGCTTGTTGCTATTTGACGTCACTCTGAACTCATTCATGCAAATAGCCTTTACTCCAGAGGAACAACTGCTTAATATTGCAGCTGCCTGAAATAGTGGTAACAGTTGGGACAAAAAAAAAGAAACTGACCAAGAAACTTTAGGAAACTCTAGGGAATTTATAGTCCTGAGACTATAGAAGGTCACATACATGTACAGGACTGGGCACATACTCAGAAAACCATGAGAAAGCCCTACACTCACCGCGCTGGCTTACACTGAGACTCTGTTCAAGCAGAGGTGAAGGCTAAGGCAGAGTTGTTAACTAGCTGGCTGTGTGTTGAAGACATACACAGAGGTCCTCAGAAAGACTAAGGGACTAATTGCTTTCAGGCACTTAAGTAAATCTCGCCAATCATTGGCTAGCTGTTAAACTGAGCAGAGACTTCAGTGGTGACACATGACAAAGTACAAAGATTTTACATTTTCAGGAATGTCATTAAACAAACAAGGAACAATAGCAACAACAAACCCTAGGGGTGAGGGCTGGGGGGAACTGATTTCAAGAGTCTCCACAGCATACTACAGTAAGTCCTCACTAAACATCATGGATGGATTCTTGGAACTGTGTTGAAATGAGGTATAATAAAACCAACTTTACTATAGGCTTATTGATACAAGCAAGAGTTAAGTTTCTATGGCATCTCATCAACGTTATAATGAAATGACATTGAACGAAATTATGTTATCCAAGGACCTGCTGTATTTAAAATGTACAGTTTTCAACTATGAGACATGGATAGAAACAACAAAGTATAGCACATACGCATGACAAGAAGCAATCAGTAGAAACTATCCTGGAGAAAGTCTAGATGGTGGTTTTCTACACAAAGACATTAAATCAACTATTTTGAACTTTTCCAAAGAACTGAAGGAAATCATGGCTAACAATGTAAACTATGAAAATTATATCTCACCAAATAGAAAATATCAATAGAGAAATTTAAGCAAAACCTCTTTAAGAACCAAATACAAATTCTGTTGAAATGAAGAACTGAAGTGAAAATTCACCAGAAAACCTCAATAGCAGATTTCTGCTGGCAAAAAAGAGAATCAGGGAATTTGAAGTAGGTCAACTGACATTATCCAGTCTGAGGAACAGAACAAAAAAAGAATGAAGAAAGATGAACAGAGTTACAGAGACCTGTGGGACACCACCAAGAATACCAACATAAACATAATGGGAGTCCCAGAAGGGGAAGACAAAGAGAAATAGGCAGAAAGACAATTTGACGAAATAATAGTTGAAACCTTTCCAAATACGATTTAAACACACACACACACACACACACACACACACACACACACACACACACACACACACACACCCCTACCTCTATATATCCAAAAAGCTCAATGAATCCCAGGTGGAATAAACTGAAAGAAATCAGTGCTTATTGTTTAAAGACAAAATCCCCAAAGCAGCAAGACAGAAGCAACTCATCTATAAAAGGGAGCCTCATAAAATAAACAACTGATTTCTCCTCTGAATCCATGGAGGCCAGATGGCAATGCAGTGATCTTTTCAAAGCACTGAAATAAGACTGTCAATCAATAATTTTATATCTAGCAAAACTATCCTTCAACCATGAAGGAGGAAATGAAGACATCCCCAGATACACAAAAGGGTCCTGGTTTGGATGATAAAATACATATTCACTCTATTTAACTAGCAGGTTGCATGTGGGCATGTGTATGTGGGCAGAGGGGGGGCTTACTGGGTGCTAGAAACTCTGTTTCTAGGCCTGCATGGTGGTTACATATTTACTTTGTGGAATTGCATTGAGCAATACATTTATGTTTTGTGCATTTTTCTATATGTGTGTTTTACATCATAAACTTAAGGGAAGAAAAATAACAGATTTTTTCCCCTGTTCACAAACAAAATCACTATTTTATATTTACTACTTTAATTACCCAAATGGAAATAACTTAGGGACCAAACCCAGAAACTTCGTGAAATAACCTATTACTCTCTTCTATGGCTTTGTTCTGGCTCTCTCTTCTGCACAGAATATTCTTACTGTCCATTTCACCCAATTCATCCCTATGCTCTCTTTACTATTCACTGTCAGGCCTTACCTATACAGATCTGTGTCTGTCTCCCATAATATATGTGAACACTTTTAAGAGTAGGAATTGTGTCAAAATGTTCTGGGTATTCTCAATAGCAATGTGCAAAGCACATAAAAAGCATAGAATGAAGGTTTGAGGAATCCGACTATGGGAATAAGTGAAGGAAGCCTTCCTAACACCACAAAAGATTCTAGTAGCACGTATCACAACTGACCAAACTCAAAGGGTTTCCTATAAATGCAAATATTAACCCTGAAGTCATTAGCAGGTTAGCATTTTTAAATACAATTAACAGTCACAATTCAAGAACGCTGGGTACAAAGATTTGATAAGACAAGGAAGAGAAACAATTAAGGTATAGCTAGTCATTTCTGGAATGTTGTAATTTTACTTTATGAGTAATATTAGAAGAGAACATATTATGATAGAAAAAATTTGACAGCTCAAATCATGTCTACATTAAGGAATTCATAATCTCTTTTCTAACGTGCTACACAAATATTATTGAGACTACAATGACAAGTCCTTCAACCCACAGCACACTGGGCAAGGTTCTCAAATTCAGTTCACACCCATCCTCAGACTTTACTTCGGAACCCTCTGGGTGAGTTCAATCATTCCTGGAATTCTGGAAAGGTGTTTATCTTGTCTTTTGTCATTTTTGTTTCAATAAGGAGCAAAAGATAAAACCCACCACTGAAAGGAAAACAGGGTGGGGTATATAGGCAGGAGAGGAAGCTATCCGGATCCGAGATGTAAATGCCCACCAAGGACACGCTCAACAAACCTGAAAGAGGAAGGCATCGCCCAGGGAGTTGCTGAGGCAGAAGACGAAGTCCTTCTTGGGGTGCTCAGGCACGGCCTGCACGATGCTGTTCTCCACCCAGACAGCGTGCTTGGGGACGCTGTTGTGGTCTATTCCAGACCTGCCGTCGCTCTCGTAGAAAAAGAGCGTGCACCCTGCGGAAACAGAACAGTGGTCCGCGTGAGTATTTGGTGCTCGTGCAACAAGGAGTCTGTAGCGGAAACATGGCTGGGAACCTGTCACCAGGAGAGGGCTGGAAGTTGAGCTATGTGGCACCTAGGGAGTAAAGAGAAAGGGGCTGTGTTTGTACCGAAGTCTTGAACGGTCTTCGAGGAAGGCAAAGATTCTTACATCACAGCTTCTCAACCCACACAAGACTCCTTCAAGTATGCCCTCAAGTTCTTCAAGACTCTTACTTTCTGTTTTACTAGAATATTTTATTACAAGTATCCTCACAGGCTCCTTTGGCCACTGGTGACTGTAAAGACATCGCCACAGGCCAGAAGTGTAATGAGCCCTGTGTGAGGGCTGGCAGTCAGTTCTGTCCCCACTGGGGCCGCTCATCTGCATGTCTCATGAGATATGCGGCCAGGAAACACAATTTATTCGGTTTCTTGACTATCCCCTTGGAGAAAACAATAGGTAATCCTGACTTTCGTTGCTTTAAGGATAAAGAAAAAAATGATAGATTTTTAGTCTTAGATCTATTTCTATCAGTTGTTTTTCCAGAAATAAACCATGTCCTTGTTCCTTCTGAAAGAGGAAATGCATGGCACACATATGAAAGCCTGGGGGAGGCCGAAGGCCTGGTCCAAACTTAATCACACTGTTAAACTAATGAGACAGAGCAATAGAAACCTTCCACAGATTGGTGGCAAGCTGGCTTCGGTAGATACCCTCCATCATTGCCTAAACATGAGGCTTACTTTATTAGTAATTACTAGCTGAATGCTTACTCTCAACCAATCAAAACCAGTTTCAAGGAAAGCCTGGGCCCAACTTGATGAGTCTTTTGTAACTTCACGAAAACCACGCAGTCAGTTTTCAACATCTTCCTTTCCACAAACAAGGACAACGCTCTTCGTGAAATGCAAAGCCTTCGAAAGTACAATCTCCCTAGCTACAACATGAGTCTCCATAAAGCAAATCTGTAGTGATGCAGAATGATGTGCGTCAATGGAAAAGTCACATTAGTTCAAAGGCAATTTTTCCTGGTCATTAATAGTTCACATTCACATGCAACAGCTGCTGAATGCCCCGTCCCCAAACACAGCTGAAGGCAGCACAGTGGCACACAACGTCATCGCACAATTTTTCCCTTGTTACAGTTTGACCATATGCTTTGCTTAGAAGTCCTATTGCACGGGGCTCCTGGGTTTCATGATTTTATCATTGTTGCTCTTGTCTCCATAACTCAGGAGTTTTGATTCTGCCTTCTACCCAATTCAACTTACATTCACTTTTTAAAAACGTATTTCTATGGTATTTATTGCTAGAAATTAAGATATTAACTATGTGATTATTTTCAGTAGGTCTTTTTTAAAAATTATTTTAGTTTTGGGCTGAAAAGCTGCATACATACACAGCAGGTCCTCAAATAGGACGGTTTCTTCAACACCATTTTGTTATAACATTGATGAGACGCTATAGAAACTTAACTCTTGTTTATATCAATTAGCCTATGGCAAAATTGGTTTCATTATACATCATTTCACTGCAGTTCCAAGAACCTATCGACTACGTTAAGTGAGGACTTACTGTAATATACTGACATACCTACTGAGCAGTCTGCGCCTTCCTATCTTTCCCATAATCCTTGTTACTTTGAAGATTTCAAGCTTTTTCACAAACACACATATCACATTGCAGCATTACCTGTACCTTCAATTTCCATGCCTGAAGCTAGCATAGGTTCAGAGATACATAGAAGAAGGAAAAAAAAAATGGAAAGGGGAAGCTATTTTCCTCCAAATCAGGATTCTCAAGGTGGGGCAGCTGCCCTCCCAGGGGACATCTGGCGATGCCTGGAGACATTTCTGGTTGCCGCTTTTTGGAGGTGTGGGGACGAGGGAAGGTGCGACTGGCAGTTAGTGGGCAGAGAACAGGGATGCTGATAAACGCCCACAATGCCCAGGGTTACCCCCGCAGGAAGAATTACCCAGAAAATGTTGCTAGTGCCCCCATCTAGAAGCCCTGCTATAAATAATCTTTAGGACTAATACTATACTAATGATTTATAGATACATAACAGAAAAGAAGCAACGAAACTTCACTACAGGTTGGGGACAGAGAAAGAAGCTTGTGGATAATGAATGAGGAGACATTCACAAATCCTGGCATGTGCACACACTGAACATACTAGCCCAAATTGCTGTTTTTGTAATTTTTCAACTTTGGTTTATAATCACCCATGACAGTTGGTGGTGAAAATCAGCTTTTACTCAATTACCTACTTGTTCTAATTTTCAGACTAACATGGAGCTGCAAATCAAGGAACCACAAGCTCCCCCCTGATAACAGTGCATTTACCTTCATCTTCACTTGAATATCATCTGTGTGCTCTTCAGTTGTCGATGGAGACACTCCAGAGACTAATTCTAAATAAAATCTTTTTAAAAAATTAATTATCCTGCCTAAAGTGAAAGAATCTTTGGCGAAATCTCTATTCCACAGTGCACAGGTACTCTTGTTTTTTTAATTCTCAATATCCAAGTGTTGCTAAGAAAAAGTCAGCAGCAATCCCTGCCTTTGAGTGACATGCACAAGCCCCGGTCGGGTATGTCAATATATAATGGGAACCTGTCAGGATTAAGAAGCAAAAGGCTCAATGGCTCTGTGTACTGGGCCTGGATCCTGACAGATTGTGTCACTCAGATCTGGGTCACCATGAAAGTGAAGGCTCCCTCCTCGAATGGGCTCATGAGCTGTGCCCCTGAATGCCTGCACCCCAGCTTCCAGCATTATTAATTCTCTAAGGAAACAGCCAAAACAAAACAGCCCCCTCTTCCACGTCCCAAGTGAAAAAGAAAACACCTCATTATTGTTATTCTAACACAGCTGTTCTCAAATTTTGTGAAAGAATCACCTGGAAATCTTTTAAACCACAAATTCAGGGCCTGTCATGGGCTGAATTATATCCCCCAAAATTCCTATGTTAAAGTCCTAATGCAGCACCTCAAAATGTGGCTTTAGGAGGAGATAATACCCTACAGAAGTAATTATGATAAAAGGAGATCATATGGGGAGGACCTAACCCAATACAACTGCTGTCCTTTTAAGAAGGGGGAATGTGGGCATAGGCAGGGACAAACGGAAGACCATGTGAAGATACTAAAGGAAGATGGCCATCTTCAAGTCAAGGAGAGACCCCTCAGAAGAAACCAAACCTGCTGACACCTTGATCTTGGCCTTTTAGCCGGCAGAAGTGTGAGAAAATAAATTTCTTTTGTTTAAGCCAACCAGTCTGTGGTACTTTGTTACTGCAGCCCTAATACAGGGCCCCCACCTCCGAACTTTGAGACTTGGCAGGTATAGATATAGCCCAGTAAGTATCTCAGGTAACCGTGGTGCAGGTAGTCTTATGATCAGGCTGTAAAAAACTCAACACTAATTAGTAAAACCAGTGATAAGACAGGCTGCTAAAGAGAACAGAGGCTGCAGTGTCCAGTGGTACAGCCATTTGGGGGAGGAGCAGAGGCAGAAAGGGGGGCTTTCCTTTTATTTTATCTCATTCTACCCCCACAGCAGAGCAGCCGGCACGATCCTGGCCCCCTCGGATGCAACCATGTAGCATCTCCAAATCAAGCCAACGCAGGTCACACATAAGAAAGAACAGTACCAGTTCTCCAAAATACTCCCACGGGATAAACATTTACATTTCACAAGCAGGATCACTACATCAAATAATGGTCTTTCCCCAATTTACAAAAAAAAAAAAAAATCAAAGCGTGTGTGTGTGTGTGTAAACTGATAGAATTTTTCTCGAACTTAACATTCTTATTTCATATCAGCGTTAAAATTTTAGTATATACTTTACATGTGTTATAATACGGTATTTAATTTAACATAGGAAATAAAATTTAAGGTTTAATATTAATATTTCATGCAGTTTTCACAGAAAATACTATGCTTGCCAGGATTCTGCTTTTTGTTCCAACTCCAAACACTAAGGCAGACTCTGAGAATGAGAAATGGACATGAGAAAGTACCTGGCCCTTCCTAAGCATTCTGGGAAGTGGAGCGATGCGATGTAATCAACCAGCAAGTCTGACAACGGGACATGAAATGAAACCCTTAAAATGCAGCAACATTTGGCACACAGGCCACTTGGCAGTAGGGGGAACTGCCCTGCACTAGCTGACGAGAAGAGAGTCATCTGTAGGACAGCTGTGTGTTCCCCAGTAAGACGCCCAGGAGCAAAGCCGCCACTCCTGCCTCCCTTGCAGCTAGGCATGACTTATTCCTGGCCAATGGGATGGAAGCACAAGTAATGCAGGCAACCTCCAGGGAGTGCTCTCAGTGCAGGGGGATATACCCCCCACTTCCCCATTTTCCCACTGGAATGTGGGCCTGCTGGTGGGGCATCTTTGCCCAGACTAAGATAATGCTCTAGGAATAGCTGAGCAACAAGACAGAAGGAGCCCAGGCTCCCGGATGACTTCATAGGACAGAGTCACCACACCAACCTTAAATGGTCTGACCCTGGTAGGGGGGAGGGAAATAAAGTTCTATCTTGCTTAAGACAGTGTCATTGTGGGTCTCTGTGACATGCAGCAAGACCTATAGTCTAATCAACATGCTCCCTTCCTGTTCACCAGGCATTGAAGCAACAGCTGGCACAACGAGTAATGAGGCCTGTCCAAACCCTGCTTGACCCACAGGGGCTGTGCTGTGCACCACTGCACAGAGCTCTAGGCTATTCCGAGCCTCTAGGACTGGATGTTCCCACATCAAACACAGTTTGTAAAATCCAGTATCAAATGGTCAAGCGTGTGCAGCGCCCCAGGCAAGCCCCGGCTTCTCCCTCCTCTGCTTGTCCTTCGCGCTACTAACCTATCTAACCGATCCCACCATATGTACTGCCTGCTTCAATACTTGCTTGTGACAAAAAGTCTAAGTGAGCTTGAGAAGAGTTTTTCTCTTTAAGACACAGAGCTCACAACGTGTTACAATTTCATATGCAGACGTGCACAAGAATATACAGTCACAAATGTATGTAAAATGACAATAAATAGCAACATAGAAAAGTATTACACTTATTAATGAGGACTGTGATACATACATGGGTATATAGCTATACATACACACACTCACATACACAAAGTATGAGTGTAAAACTGTGACTTTTCACAAACGTACGATGACTTTGAGGTTGCATGCAGCATTGGGTTGAACCTATAAAATTAGCAATATGCTACCGCTTTTTTTACCTAAAAAGTGACAATCCCATAGGACTTAGGCTAATGATTTTCCCTCTCAGTCACTTTGGGCCGCACTTTACTACCGTGAATGATTTTTTTAAAAAAAATTTTTTTTAACTCAACCCCCAAAACTGTCATCAGACTCGGCTGCATATACGAGGAAACCAGACATGAGATGGTCCTCTAGCTTAAGTGTGACAGCATTGCCAGGGAGGGGCAAACGGGCATTACTAATCAAGGGACAAGTTTCCATTAAGTAAGATGATTAAGTTCTAGAGATCTGCTATACAACCACGTGCCTGCAGTCAACACCGATGCAAGGAACACAAAAATCTGAGCGGGCAGGTCTCACGGTAAGTATTCTTAGCACAATAACATAACTTTTGAAGTTAGCATATAATAAAATTGTGTATGATCGAAAAACCCGATTTGCCTTCGGTGCAGGTAAGGGGGTAGCCGGCGCTGGAGGAAGGGCGCGGGGCTCTCTTACCTTTCAAAGACACCCAGTAGTGCTTCCACTTCCTCCGGGTGGCCGACTCCACCTTCTTGTTCTTCTTGTGCACCAGGAAGTTCTTGACGGCCAGGGCGCCCGCCTTGCGCACCGTGCCCTGCGCGGCCGTCAGCAGGAGGTCCGACTGGCCCGGGGAGCTCAGGGTGCCGCTGCTCTGCTCGTCGCTGTGCGCCGAGCCGGCCTCCTCCAGGCTCTCGCTGTTGGTGGTGCTCATCTCCAGCTCCCGTCGGAAGTTCTCGTACACCCCCTGGCGCGCCGCATCGCCGGTGGAGCTGCTGCCGCTGTCGCTGCCCACGAAGGCGCGCCCGGTGGGGGGCGAGTAGCTGGAGTTGGTGGCATTGGATCGCCTGGACAGGAGGTCCGTGTCGGTGGTGGCCCCTTCGATCCCGCTGTCCGCAAACTCACTGCCTTCGCCCGCATTAACATCCTTGGGAGCCGAAAGGGAGACAAACGAAGACATGCATCACGCAGAGAAGTCACCCACGCGTCCCTATAGGTCCAGCCTTGGGCTGCGTAGCTGCAGGAGACCCTCAGGGCATCGCGGCCTCGCAGCCTCTTCTCCTGGACCAACTACTCCTCAACCCCTGGACCCACACAAACCCAACTCGCCCGCAGAGTGGCTCTGGACAACTGTGCAGGTGCCCGGGTACCAATGCGAACAATTTGGAGGATTCGAGAAACATAAAAGAAATAAAGAACACTTCGAAAAGCTTATCATTTATCTGACTTAGATAATTAACTAACTGGCAAATCAGCTATTGAGATTCTCCCACCACCACGCTGAGAACTCAGCGCCCTGGCCCTCATCAGCCGGCCTGGAACTCCAGGAAATTCTGTAGGCTGATTAGCTCGTGGTTCCGGAGGTAGGGGTTACAGTGGAAAACAAGGGCTTTACAGCTGATACTTTTTTTTTTTTTAACTGAGGGCCTGGTTAGGAGACTATTTTATAATGTTGTGACTAAAAAGATAGCTAGTGCACCGCCTCACCAACTCACCCAGCAAGGACCCATATCCCAGGAGCAGGCAAGAGCCCTCATGCCCTAATCAGCTTGGCTCCTGGAAAACAAGCAGCCTCTCACTTCGCATTGAGCTAAATAAATAAGTCTGTGGGGCCCACAGTTCCAACTCAGGCTCTCCAATTACCTTGCCCTTTCAAAGCTGGGATGCTAGGAGCCCGAAGCAAGCTACTCACCGCCCCTGGGCCAAGTAACAGCTTGGGGCACCTGCCAAGATGCTGGGGGTATCAATTCCCAGTTTCAACCCATTTGGAACTTCCAAAACACTGCCCCTGCTCTCAAGTTGAACATTGCAGGGCCACAGACAGATCTGCTCTTAAATCAGAATCTTAATTGCTCTGAAGTGCTACAGGCATCTCCATAAACAATAATTAAATAATGGCAGTAATCAAGGGAGGGTGATGAGAGCAGCATTGGGCAGGACAGCTCCCCAGTCTTATGGGTGAGAACTGAAACTGGCTTTTCTCAGAGAGAATGGGAATGTGAGGGACACGGAAAAGACGGCACAGCAAATGTAAAAACTAGCAGGATATTCTGAATTGCCATACAAGTGAATGCTTTGCGCTCCACTGTTTCCTGAGAGGCTTGGGGCAGAATGAACCGAGCCACAAACTCATACTGTCCTGCAGAGGCCCGGACAGGGCTTGTGCCCATCTACCTCCTTCAGTCAGTTCTAACTTAGAGCCATCGGAGTTCACCTTCATCATGAATAGACACCAAGTGAGCAACTCAAAGAAGGGCATCGCCAGACATGAAAACAAGCAAGAGGAGACCCCGAAAGACACACACTGTGGGATTCACTTATATGTGGAATCTATGGCGAACTCATAGAAACAGACAGTAGAATGGAGGTTGCCAGAGGCTGGGGGGTGGGGGAATGGGAGATGTTGGTCAAAGTACAAACTTCCAGCTATAAGACGAATAAGCTCTGGAGAGTTCCCGTGCAGCACGGTGACTACAGTTAACTGTAGACTTGAATTCTGTTAAGAGAGTAGATCTTAAGAGTTCTCACCATCGGAAAAAAAAAAGGTACTAATGGGGTGGTGTGTTAATTAACTTGATTGTAGTAATCATTTCACAATTCATACGTACATGAAAGAAATCATCACGTTGTACATCTTCCAGAAACAAAACAGAAAGAACAGTATGCAAAGGGTGGAAAGAGTAACTTTATAGTGGAAAAACCTGGCAAATACTACCTCAGCCAGGTGCTCAAGGTTAACTGGGTGAATAGGAACCTTCTCTACTATTGGTCCCATCACTTTGCTATCTGCTGTCCTGCCTATTAACCTCCATAGATGGTCCTGAAGGACCCACAGCCCGTGGGTAAAAATCCTCTATACAAACAGCAGAACACTGTTCTCAAAGCACTTTTCTCCTTTTTGCTTCCCTTTTGATAGAAGACAATAAGTAAATTTGACTATCAATGATTCTTCAAGATAACAATCAATAGTGGGAGATGAGGAGTTTGTGAATTTCATATGTCTCAGTCCTTCCCTGAAAGAAGTGAAGGAATCAGCTATACCGGCTCCTCTAAAAATACAGATGTGAGATGCTTCTCAGTCAGGCAGGAAAAGATAAACTAGACAGGTAAACCTCCCTAGTGGGTAAGAGAAAGACCTCAGAACAAAGGAGGAGACACATGACCCCAGGTGTCTTGGAATTCCCACAGCTCTAGAACAGGAAGGAACCTTGCAAAGCCATCCTCTTGGTTAAAGGATGAGGATGGTGGGGCTTAGGAAGTCACAGGCCTGGTTGCTAGCAGATTGGAGGCTGGAACCCATGCTGCCAACCACTATAATAATATTGGTGGCCCCATCGCTCAGCTGCAGGTAGTATCTGACCAGAATCCATCTAAATAGTCAACTCCAAGCCTTCCCCCTTTGTTTGCCAGCAATGCCCATTGCAGGTGTGCCCAGCAAAGGCTGAGTGCCGGGTCATCTATTTGCCTTGACTTGCCTGACAAGAGCTCAAAGCTGAAAGTGGTGGGAAGGGGAAGGAGATGAAAGAAGACAAAGGAAAGAGGCAGAGACCAGATCGGCAAACCCTCAAGAGCATGTCTCTTAACAGTCTACTACATTCCCACAAACCATTCACCCCTTCCCGGCATGCCCTGAGGGCTCTGCAGAAACTAAGAGCAAGGCCTTCATAGACACTCACCTCTTTGTCAGGCCCGAACATCTGCGCATACCAACTGATGCTGTGACCTTGCAATGGCCCTAGCTGTGTGTATTCAACTCTAGTGCAGCCACTTAAAAGGAGCCAAGAAGTGATGAATGACTCCAGGTAAGAGGCCTGCTGGCCCCAGCTGAGCCGGGTACTCTGAGAGGACACAACCCAGTGTCACCACTGGGGAATGCTCTCCATATGTGATCCAAGCCAGCTCCACCTTGTCGCCACAAGTGGTTAAGCAGGCTCAGTGGTACACATCTCCCTATTAGTATGTGGCCCAGCCTGTTGGGAAAGAAATGTTGGCGGCCCATACCCAGCTCCTATTTGGTCATGAAGCTTGGGATGTCCCAACTACCCAGAAGCCCGTGCTCTAGCATCGTGGGAAATGATGACTGTCCATCCAGACACTACTCAACATCTGAATGGTCAAGGAAGCCTGCACGTTCCGTATGCCAGCCATCTCCCACTTGAGTGTGGGGAAGAATCATCTCTAGTAGGACTGTTCTATCCCGATGCCGAAGTGCCACACGAGAAATGCCAAGTTTATGTCTCAGAATCTGCAGTACAAATCCAAACCAGATTCCCTTATGTAGAGGCTCCAGGGTCACACTTTGAAGGACACCAGCCACCCCGCTAAGGCTACAGCCCAAATACCCAGCATTCCCAGATGCCAGGATGCATACCACTCTATATGATTTCCAACAGCTCAGAAGAAAGGCAGCGGCATCAAGATGCCAACGTTCCTGGTGGTCATCTTTCCGAAGGGCTGCTCCTCCTCTACCCACCTCAGTCTCGGAGACACCTCCCACCGGAGAAACCTGATTCTCCCCACACTCAGGAGACCCTGGGACTCTCCCCAGCAGCAAGGAATCCAGGAGACGCCCTCTAGGCAAGAGCCCCATGGCAGCTTCAGCAGCCTTTGTAGCAAATGCAAGCTGTGTTCTTACGTAATTAGAGGTCTTCGCATATGATTGGTCCTAGAATATTGAACCAAATACTGAATTTTAATCCAAAAGTCAGAGGCAATCAAGGAAAATGGTAAGACCCTTGCTCGGCAGAGAAATAACTCCCAACACGGAGCATGATTCGGTCAGCGATTTCCTGAAAACTCCTCAACATAAACTCTCCACGTTAGAAACACTCCATCGAAGAGGCTTCCAATTATAAACGACATTCATGGGGTACACAGGCTCTTAAGTCCTGCTCTCCCAGGACAGACCGTCCCAGCCAGATTTTAGCGTGCTCACCAGTTTCCATTTCATTAGCAGTTTCCCAGCACAAACGTATTCACTTTCCTATCAGATGCACAAGTGGCCAGCTGTAGCCCAAAACATTCAACAGCTGCCAGGCAAGAGCTGTCTTAGTCACGTTAGCTGGGCATCAAATGCTTAAATCAGCGCTAGTGCTAAAATGGAGAAGGCAAGAGGCAAATTCAAAGCCTGTTTTCACTGCCTTGAAAACCGAAGGGTCACCTGGCATGAATGTGGGCTAATGACACATTGTGGCAGAGCTCAAGTTGTTTCCACAGGGGACTTAACAATTACAGGTGACCTTTGCACAACATGGTGGAACTGCAGAGGCCCACTTATATACATATTTTTTCCCAATAAGCACTGTATATTCTCTTCCTTATAATTTTCTTAACAACATTTTCTTTTCTCTAGCTTACTTTATTGTAAAAATACAGTAATAATACATAGCATACAAAATATGTGTTAATCGACTGTTTAGGTTATCAGTAAGGCGTCCAGTTAACAGTAGGCTATTAGTAGTTAAGTTTTGGGGAGTCCAAAGTTATAGACTTTTGACTGAGCAGGAGGTTGGCACCCCTAACCCTGCATTATTCAAGGGTCAACTGTACTCTGACAGAGAGTTTTCCTGTGTTAATGATGGGTGAACACAGTTTTGAAAAGGTGATTAGCCCCAAAGTTCAGGGCCCTGGGGCAATTCAGAAACCAGTAGGACCAACTGACCACTTGCATAGTTATAATTCGAATACAATTAGAAACGATTTTGTTGGTTACTTGGTTTAATTTCCCTCATGAATCCAGCTTTGCTTTAATATGCCGGTATAGAGAAAAAATATATAGTGGAGGAGAGAGTTCACTGAATTTCAGTGGGGTGAGGAAATTTTGACCTGCAGAAGCCTTGAATTAGGACAACTTCTACCTTACTAAATTCTACAATATTCTGCCTCTGGTTTCTCATCTTCTTATCTCTAAAATGTAAGTAACCCCCT